ATGTGGCCCTTCCTTTTACAATATACGCAAAAATTACGGGCTCGACAATACTTTTGGGTGTGGCCTTTCTCCCGACAGTGATGGCACTCCATTTCAGAAGAAGATCGGCGCTGAAAAGGAGGCCGATAGGCTGCAAAAATAGAAGGCTCGCCAACAGAAGGATTTCCACCCGCGCCAGAGCTTGCCGGACCTAGCGAACTGAAAACAGCGACGTCGCCAAGGCCGGGGCGAGCATCCAAGTTGGCCTGTGTGCGGAGGCGGGTCTCCTCCCTAATGAGACTGCCCAGGACACCCTCAATTTGGAGCTTCTCCTGATTAAGAAGAGTTGCGCGCACTGGTTCGAATTCAGGTTTAAGGCGCATCAAAAATTGAATCAACCGAATCTTGTTCTTCTCGGCCTGGGCATCGGCGGGTAAAGGTTGGGACAGCAGCGTCGCGGAAAGCAAATCTTGTTCCGTCCAAAGAAGACGTGCAGCATTAAAATAGGAAGCTACATCAAGGTTGCCTTGATGAAGGGCGGCCAATTCCACTTCAAGTTCAAATTGGCGGTTAGTGCTCGTACAAGCATAAGTGGCAGCAAGCGATTTCCACATATCAGCAGCAGAGGTGAGCAGGCGAAGCCCCAGGAGAATGGTGGGATCGACTGAATTGAGGAGCAGCGATCGAACCCTGGCGTCACTATGGATCCATTTAGCAACATCTTGATCGGTGGATGGCGGGACAGTGGGACGGACGGACGTCCCGTCGAGCAGCCCGAGAAGTCCCTTTCCTTCAATGAACGTACGAAACTGAAACGCCCAGATGGCGTAGTTCTTGGAGTTGAGACGAGTGGCAATATGATCGGATTCCATAGTCGTAAGCTCTGATACCATGTTACGAAACCGGAAACGAATATGTAATCGAAACAGATATAATCGAAACGGAGAGACACGGGATTTACGTGGTATCCTCGACGTATGATTGTCGAGACTAATCCACGGCACAAGGCGGTTTCAGTGTTTCTTATTATCTCCAGAACAACGTACTGGTGATATATATACATCATTTCAGCAACCCTAGCAGAGAGGAGGAAGATGAGAATCGGCCTAGGGTTAGTGTCCATGATCTACGTACACAATCATGTGAGTGCATGGGCCTTCACGTTAGTGAGTGCATGGGCCAGAAGCCCATCACTTCAACAGACCTGCAACACATGACATTAAGTAGCATAGGCGATGTCAAATCTTGATTCTATCCTTCAAAATAAGACGTGCACGTATTTTCCATATCATCCATAAGGTAATGCCAAAGACCACAGGCCAGGGAAGGCATGCTATCTTGGTGAAGTTGTCATTCAGTTATTACGTATCCACATGGTTGCATCAAAGGAGAAGAAGATGCGGGGTTTTTTCACTAGAACCACTCTGGACTAATAGTAAGCAGCCAACGAGCAATCTCGAGAGTCTCTGGTTACACACAACATCGAATGAGCTTAGAGATGAAGCTAGTCTACTGTTGAGACAAATGACATAGGTTGTAATCTTGCCCAAACTAGCTATCCAACATCGAATTCTCTATAGGGTCTCAAGTTTCCAGTATGTGTTAGAATTTAAACTTAACGCATGTATAACTTTCTGGAATTCATCTTGTCAAGTTATCAAAGGTCAATAGGAATACATGGATTCATGTGGGTTGATTGTCAGAAGCCTGACGCGGAATTTGACAAACGATATGCAATTGAACGATACATCAAGATCACGATCCGAGAGGTTTTGTAACCTTCATGAACCAATCCTCCATAGTTCATATGAGATAATTGATCTTCCAGATTTACAGAAGAGACTGATTTTAGTCTTGGTATGTTGGGGGGGGGGGGGGGGGGGGGGGGGGGGTCTACGACCTCAAAAATAATCTTTATATACTAGTCACCATGGACTCCCATAAAACTCTAGGTGAGTAAGTATTGGTTTCCACCCATTTAGTTCTATAAATACAAATAGCCAATATATGTGTAGTGAATTGGTAGCTCACTTAAGTTAGGAAATGAAATTCATAACCGAATGTCCTTCACAAATATCATTCATTTTATGGTTAGGGGATGTGAGACATACAAATTGTAAGCGAACCTTGATGAAAAATATCCCACCAAAGTTCTTGTCCATAAGATTGTGTCTTCGTCCTAGGAAAGATGATTTGCCGACACGATCGTGATTTTGGCTTGGATTTCCGAGGGCATAAGGTTGGCAAATTGGTCGACTCACCACCATCCATTCTTATCAGTATAACTAGAAACTAGTTCTTGCTTCATTTCCTTTGTGATGGGGCCTAACACAATCGTCATAAGAGGGACCTGTAAAATCCACAAATTCAACCAAAATATAGTGTTTCTATCATTCTTAATTTTTCATGCACGCGCGTTAGAAGAAGGTCAGCCGCTTTAGTAATGATCTCCAGACAAAGGAACTTTCACTGAGCCTTTTGTCACGAGATATTGGTTGAAATGAACATGGCTAAGTTGGAGACGCTTACTCTCTGTCCAAAGTTGGAAAAAAAATCTAAACTCTTCTAGCGGATCTTGTTTTGTTCCACTTTGCTTCTTGGGATAACACCAATTTATCTACAAAAAAGGTGTGAGATAGTAGGCACGTTGAAATGCTAGAGAGTTTTAGGGATTTCTAGTGCTTCTCTGCAATTGCCTGATCTATTATGTTGGAAGGCGTTTCATGCACAAAACGAAAAGGTAAGGCGACAGATGGTCTCCCTATAAAATTCCTTGAGTCAAAGATATCGCATGAGAAGATATTCGTTCCATAGTTGTCTTATTTTATTGTGCTCCACAAGATACATGATGCGGCTTATCCATGAATTCAAAAGCATATCTACATGAGTGTGTCTCGAGGAAGACCCATCAAAGTCTATCATAGGTCTTTTCAAGGTCGATCTTGTAAACATTGCCGCCTTCTTTCTTTCTTTTCCTCAAGGAGTGCAGTACTTGTTGTATAATGATTATGTTATCATTGGTTTGGCGTCCATGTATAAAGTTGCTATGCCTTGGGAAATTAGCTTCAGTCTACTAGTCATAGCCTAGATAATGGATTTGAGGCAGGCGTTGTTGAGAGAGATATGTTGAATTTGTGTGATCCATTATGGGTGCTCAACTTTTGGTGTGATGAAAACTAAGACTCAGAGACTAAATTTGGAAGTGTCATGTTTTGGAATAAGTTTATAGCGTGATCGTCAATGCTTTCCCTACTATAGCCCACCTATTCTATTCAAAGAGGGTTTCAAAGATGCCAGGACCAGGAGCTTGAATGGCTTCGTCGCAAAACTGGTGTTGTGAATATCATCTATTATGAAGGTTCTTATTAGCTAGATAAGCTCTTCGTGGTGAAGGCAAGGTAAACGCTCGTGGGCATCAATTCTGAGTATTGTGAACCATCATGCATCATGCTTAGAGAAAAATTGTAATATAAACAAAAAAGGTCATTATTATCACACACCCATTCTCCTATACTCTTTTTATCGTTAAATTATGTTGCAGTGCAACTCTTGCGTAATACCAAATAAGCACATCCTGTCCTAGGACTTTATCCAACTCAGCCCCAAGCTTCTTATGCAACTCAGCCAAACTATGGGAGAAACTCAATTCCCTAACCAATTGATGAGCCTCTTCTTAATTTGTTCAATGTTGCCAAAAAAACCTCATTGTTCCATCATTGGAGTTTAGCCAACAACCCTTTGAGAGCAGATGCAAATAACCCAAGCAAAAGCATAATACAGACCTTCTCATTGATAAAAGAATATTGACTATTGAATAGTGAAACCTTCATTCCTATAAAAAATCATTTCTTATTAATTATAACTAGTTTTTTGTCCGCACTTTGAAGTAGTAAAAAACTAATTATATTTAAAACTTCATCCACCATTTATTGATTTAGGTGAAAAATCAAATAGTTCATCAAATAGTTCGGGTAAAGTACCTTCTTTAACTTTACGTAATATCTTAATAATTTCAGAATACTTACTAATACGTTTGTTTAATTGATACATAATAAATATACTTTCATAAGATTATGTAATGTGTTTGTAATATAGGTAAATGTTATATAATGTTTTACGCAAATCTTATATAATAATAAAATAAAATTATGAAAAAGTATGGCATGTGATTGAACTATTACGTCAAAGTTAATTTACATTATGAAACCTTTGTTTAATGCAAATGCATGAGATGATAAATATCATAGGTAATAATAAATGAATTTTAATTAATAATAAAATAATAAGTTAGAAAAATTATCAAATTTGATTAAACTATTATGTAAAATTTTATTGTTTTTACTAGGGGTGGCTATTTGGACCGGGACCGGATTAAAAACCGGAAACTGGACCGTATAACCCGGACCGAGACCGGACCGGGATCGAATAGTAAACAATCCAATCCAATCCAATCTTTGGGCTTAGATTTGAGGTAAAAAAAACGGATAAAGACCGGATAAGAGAGCTCAACACCCAAAACTTAAGGGTAATTTGCATAAACGGTCACAAACCTTTGCACTTAGTACAAAACTTAACCAACTCCTCACCCTTTAAGGCCTTAGGCCACTCAAATCCCACAATCTCAATGTAAAATCAAGACCGAATTGGGACCAGACCGGATCAAAACCGGACCGGATCAAGACCGGACTGTATCCAATCCAATCTTCGGTCCTTATATTTTCAAAAAGACCGGACTGGACCGGATCAATTTGGGCCAATTTAACCGGACCGGACCGTATAGCCATCCCTAGTTTTTACATTGCTTTCGTGTAATTCAAATTGATGATATGGTCAACAATTTAGTTAATATTAAAGAAATTTGTGTTCCTTATATTGAAGAAGACTTACAAAAAATGTTTGTTTGAATGATACATAAGGAATGATTATATCTCTCCATAAGATTTACATAATGTCTTAATGATTATGTAACACTTACATAATATTTTTGTTTAATTGATACATAAGATATAACTATCACTCCATAAGTTTTACATAATGTATTTTTTGAAATAACTCAAAACTATCACATTCTCAAATAAATGCATTATTTTGCTCCAAATACCACATGCAAAATTATGCATCAAAATAACCTATAACATTACAAAACATTTTCCCTCTTTCATTAAGGTCTTTCAGCAGATATAACGTCGTGGAAGGAAATTTCAAAAGGTATAGCTTCAGAAACATGAAAAACTAAAGTCTTTTTCTCTATCAAACGAAGAAGAAAACAACAATGAAAACAAAACTCCACGGTGTATCTTTTTAAAAAAGGCTATTCAGTTGCATCTGATGCAACATCTTCATCATCAGCTTCTTCTGCATGCTCTTCTGGTGCATTAACAGGAGGAGTATATGTATGGTGTCCTCCTCCATGCTTTCGTTGCAGGCTCCAGTACATGATGCTTGCAGTTAATATCAGGATCATCTTTTGGTTCACCTGGACTCATAGAAAAATAACTCAATGTATCAACTATTGACTTGGAAATTAAGAAAGGTTCATAGAACTACTCCATTACCTCCATGATGTCCTCAGGCAATAAGAAGATGGAACATCCAAGCTTCCTTGCAACACTGATGATATATGTCGCATTCATCTTCTTGTCCTCATCTGCAAAGATTAAAAGAAAACAATTAAGACGAGAAAGGAATAACAGACTATGTAAAGATGGTCAATATACCAGTTTCTCCAGCTCTACAGACTTCCCAGTTGACCACCCTAGGCTCCACTGCACTGAGAAGCTCTAGGAAAAAAACCCCAGTAGATAGGTTTTTATCCTGTAGAAAACAAGAAGCAAAATTTTCAGCCATCATCAACGAAAGATGGGGACAAGTTGTTTAATCCTCATTGTAATTATTACCTTAAAGCTTTCCATTTGAGATGTTTTACCAGACTTCTTCACTTTGTCATTCGCCCATTGTATAATGTCTGTGTCAGTTATCTCCTTACCTTCACTGGAGTGAGATCTCAAGTTTCTCAGTAGTTGAAGCATACTGAACCTCATTAGTTGCCATAAATATGCTGCTTGGAACAAGAATGCGTGAAAAATAAACAATCATGAATCAAGCATAGTTGCGGGAGCATAAGTAACAAAAAAATGCAAATATAATCAAGCAACCTATAATAAGCTTCTTGTTTCCTTGGACAATGTCATTCCCAGCTACATTCACAAGTGAGAAATGCATGTCCCTTCCAATCTGTATAACCTGGTTACAATTTTCAACTTTTCTGAAAGGCATCTTTATGGGAGGCTTAGTTGCCAGCTTCCAGTTAACTGATCCAGGGGAGACTTTGTCGAGGACTTCCAAAATAATCCATCTACAATAAGAAAAGCAACTAAATCAGTTGGGCAATTTTAGCAAGGAACACTACTGCACAAGTAAAAATTGATAGCTTTACCCATTTCTAACATCCTCAAAGACATTGTTGCAGTGTGTAGGAATCCCAAGACTATTGATCCATAGTCGGAAGCATCTCTCTTCTCGAGAAGTTTGATCATCATCCTCCATCATCTCTGCATAGGATACTTTTGAGGTTTCGGTAGCATTCAATCCATTTCTGGGAAAGAATAAAAAATTAAATGAGTTGATGAACCATTCATTTTACTAGAATAAGGAAACAAAAAATATTATATGAGATCATTCTGTCCATTTACCTGTGCTGGAAAATTTCTGCGACGAATGCCAAATTAAGATTAGCTGATCCTTCAACAATGTCTGTGGGAGTAAGGTATTTGTTACACTCCAATTTTTCTGCTTGCTCAATAACCATATTTGCCCTCTCTGTAGGATCCATAACTTGCAAGGCATCAGGGGTACTAAGTTCCGGTGCAAGAGCAGTAAGGAGGTAAGCATAAGCTTCTCCATCCTGAAAAGTCTCCAACGTTATAGCCATAGAAGATAAAAACACAATATGACGCATAAGATAAACATATCACAATGCTTTGATTGTGATTTACCTTCACGTCAGAAGAGAAGTTTGTTACTTGCTTAGTATATCCAGCCTTTTTTAGATGGAAGTTCATCCATTTTAACAGAACCTTCTCGGGTGCTAAGTTCCTAAGCTCTTCCACTTCCTGCAATTTTCATACAAAGATGTGAGAAAAGAAATCGTCAGGAAGATATTTCATCCAAAAGGTATGAGTTGAAAAATCCTTCACCTCATTATCATCGACCAATTCAACAAGCTCAGGCGTGTTCTTAAGATTCACATCAGTCAGGAGTTGAATCTAAAATTCAACAATAACAACAAAATTATTTATCAAATACCCATAGTTCATGACCATATTTATATAAAAATTACAAGTTCTATTTTTCTGTACCTTAACAATTTGAGAAATCAATCCAAGAACCAAATGAGGCTGAAAAGGGAAAAGGAAAACAAGAACATTACAATAGTTCAAATTAAGTTGCTGATTTTACCAAGCAAATGACTAATAGCTTACTCTAGCTTCAACGAGATCTTGGGTACCGATATTGACAACAGTACATCCAATAGCCTTAGCCGAGTTAAGGCATAGTGTATGATTTTCATTTCTCTCCCATGGATTAGGAGCTTTTTTTGTATTGATTGCTCGCTCGTCTATTGTGTTAGGGACAGCCACATTGATCAACTTACTACACATCATTGAAATAAAGAGAACATACTTAAAATGCAATGTTCAAAACAACATTACAAGCCAACAATCATACTCAAACTAGAATTACCAAAGGAGGACACCATCTTTGACAAGATCAAATAGAGCATTTGTTGAGGGATCAATGGGGAGGTAGTCCTTCAAGAACTTATCCTCTCCCAAGTGCTTATTAATGTGCTGGACATAAGATTTCTTTTCAGATTCATTAATGTTGTGGTGGAATGTTGTTGTGGACGCCTTGAGGAATGAGGATGAACCTGCTAGTTTTTTGCCTGATGATTTTGATTTTATGGATGCTCGTCCATGCAAGTTTAGGTATGCCTATGAGAAATGATAGAAAAAATCAAAATATGATTATCCTAACAAAGAGGAATGGAATCAATAAGAGTTGTGGATTTCATAAGTCACCCTAAGGAATGATTCGAAATCGATCTCTTCATCCATGTTGGAAGTTGATTCTTGAAGCATAGCACTGATATCATTCTCACTAAAGACGTCGATAAAGGCCTTTAGTTTTGAGAAAACGGCTGGCATATCTCCTACCGTGACCCGACCATATTGTGTTCTCACTGATACATACTGTGAATCATAAAATCAAAATACACCCATCAATCATCAAAATCCAAAACTATGTCATAATGTTCGAATTTTAGGCTAGCTAGCATCAAAATTCATATGAAAAAGTTGTCACCTTGGACTTGAGGGTGCGTAGCTGGACTTGGGTGAACTGACTCTGTAGCCATGGATCAGAAACAAGTACACCCTCAAAACTCGACATAGTTTCCTAGAATTTGAGTCAATAAATATAGCCACCTGCAAGAATAACATGCATTTAGATCGAAACACAACTTTGTTCAGGGATTTGACGAACAAAAAATGTTCTATTTATGAAGCCAACGAATGGCTAACGAGGGAAGGAAGCAACATTACTATTTAAAAATATTATGAACCCACGTAGGGAATTCGATGAAAAGTAACAGACTTTGGGATGAAGGATCGACAACAAGCAGGACAAGCTTATTAGAAGAGGATTGAGCAAAAGGGGAATGAAGAGATTATCAAAATGTGAAATGAGTACGTCTGAAAATTAATGAGGAAGAGAGAGAAAAGGAGAGGAAATTTTTTGTGAGGTAATGGAAAAAATTGGAGTGTGGAATGGGAGAAAGGAAGGAAGGAGAGAAATGCGTGTTGCCGCTAAAGAAACGCGAAGATAAGTGAGAAAGAAAAGAAGTGCTCTTGAAATAGGAACTTTTTATATAGGAGGAGAAAACAAAGAGAGAGAAACAGGGAACCAAGCTTGTCATCTTTTCTCACTCTGCAATGTGTTGATCGAACGTGACTTATTCAAATGTACTTTGATTCAAGTAATTTCTAACCTAGAATGTTTTTATATATGTTTGACATAATTCATAGTCTTATTTAGTAATATGATGAACCTCACTCATAATGATCTACCACCACAATAAATCTGATTAAAATATTTTTTTTTACTTTTTCACATCGCTCTTAAATTGAAAAATGATATGTTACGGTACCTATATATACATATATGGTTCATACTAACGCACACTAACCTTACTATATGCCTAGTGAGTTTTCGTTATTTAGATCATTAATTAATTAGAGTTTGAAGCATAGTACATACCATAACCTCTAATGGAAGAATCATAGTCCCTAATTTCCAAATCCAAAACATGAGATCTGATGCGATTCCTGGCCGACTGAGTTCCGAGAGCAGCAAACGTGTTGAGGGAAGGTGCAACCTTCGGCTATAGGGGATCCTAATCCCCGAACGCGGATCAAGTGGGGTGACCAGGGAATTGGATCGGTGGTGCCCCCGACCATTTGGGTTTAAATCCTTGACCGTGGATCTGAGATCAAGGCTCGGGGCTGACGAGTGAATTTACCTTTTTTGTTTAGGATTTTTTTTTTTTACTTTTTGGGGTTTTTATTAGTTTTTGTTTCTTTGGCCTATATAAAGGCTTAAACTCAATTTTTGTGGGAGACATCAAAGAATATTGAGTTTATTTTGGTTCATTGACTTTAGGCTTGTGAATTTTCTCTGTATCAAAAGAGTTTTCCCCTTGATTGTGGTCGAGATTCTACTCATATATTGATAGAGACTTCTGCTAGGCGTGAGATGGCACTTCAATTCCGCCTTATCCCAATCTTTTTATTACTATTCTTAGTTGCGTGACTTTGATAACTAGGACTACTAGTTTCGTGCTCGTATCAAGTGGTATTAGAGCTCCGATTAAATACAATGGCAAGGAAGACAACAAAGATGCAAACCATGGAGCCAAACCTTGCAGACGTCATGTAACAGCTTGCATCACAGATGGTTAAGATGTGAGCTTTAATCAAAACCATGGTTGAACATAGTTCAAGTTCTGAGGAAGTCGAATTTGATCTAGAGGAAGATTCGAAGGATGTCATCGATTCTGGTGAGTTACTTAAAGGAAACACAGTGGTTTCTCCAACAACAGACACTCTAGAGCAAAAGAAACTCGAAGAAGGTGTTCTGGAGTCTCAAATATCAAGCGAAGAACTTGTGGAGAATAGGCTTAATTCAGGTAAACTGTAGTCGTTGGAAATTATTATGGTGACCAAATTATCACCACCGTGAAATTCAAGATGCAGTGTCGAGTTCTGGAACTTCTATGTGCTAAATCCGACCCAAAAGGATTGGATGTGGATGCCACTACTTCAAGGAATGAGAGTCGATCAATAAAAAACTATTGTATCGATCTTGGAGGAAAGAGAATTGATCTTGTGAATTCTGCAGAACCTGATAATTCCGACGTCAACATTCAATTCTTCAAATTGAATGACAACTTGAGTTTTGAAGTTCATGGACTAGAGCCTATGTCTGCTGAGCTGTTTGAGCTCTTGATTTCGTGGAATTGTGGAGTATGTTTGTTGTTTCTTGATGATGATGCATGGAATTTCGTTTGAAAGCCAGGTGAGTAAGCTTGTTTGGATCATGAGTTTTGTGGATTGTCTGAGTTTAAATGAGAGTGTGATATATTATTTTTTACTCAACCTTTGAGCGCAAAACTTCTTCAACGGGGTGAGACTTATACGATTCCCGACCGACCAAGGTCATAGAGCAGCAAGCGGGTTGAAGGAAGTTGCGACCCCCAGCCAGTGGGAATCATATCCTGAACCGGGGATCAAGAGGGGTGACTAGAGAATTAGATCAGTGGCACCCCTGTCCAACTGCATTTAAATCCATGATCGCGGATTAGCGCTACCAAGTGAATTTAGCTTTTTGTTTAGGATTATTTTCCTTTTCGGGTTTTTGATTATTTTTTGTTTATTTGGCCTATAAAAAGTCTTAAACTTGAGTTTGTGGTAGACATTGAAGAATATTGAGTTTATTTTGGTTCATTGAGCTTTAGCCTTGTGAATTTTCTTTGTGTCAATCGAGATTCCCCTTTGATTGTGGTCGAGATTCTACCCTTATATTGATAGAGCCTTCTCCCAGGTGTGAGATTGCACTTCAATTCCATATTATCCCTATCCTTTTATTCCTTTTCTTAGCTGCGTGACTTTGATAACTACAGGTACCGGTTACGTGTCATATCTACCTCACTCATAATGTTCTACAACCGCAATAAATCTAACTAAAATGAAAATCTTAGTTTTTTTACATTGCTCTTAAATTGAAAAATGATATGTTAGGGTACGTATATTTACATATATGGTTCATTCTAGCATACACTAACCTTACTATATTCATAGTAAGTTTTTGTTCTTTAGATAATTAATTAATTAATTAATTAGGGTTTGAAGCATGGTACATACCATAACCCCTAATAGGGCTGGAAATCCGGTCCCGGTTTTCCGGTCAAACCGGAAACCGACCAGTTTAAACCGTGCCGGTTGCAACTGGAAACCGGATCTCAACCAATCCAATCCCGTTTACGGTTGTAATGCCCACAAGTCCGGTCCGATCCGGTTAAAACCGGAAAAACCGGACAACAACAAATAAAAAATACAACCCAACCCAACCCAGCCCAGTCCGCCCCGCCCCCAGCCCAGCCTAGCCCAGCCCGCCCCCAGCCCGCCCAACCCAGCCCGCCCAGCCTAGCCCGCCACCCTAAACCCTAATTGCCGCCGCCTCCTCTGTTCTCAACCCTAATCGCCGCCGCCTCCTCTGTTCTCACTTCTCTCTCCCTCTGACCCTCGACCTTCTCTCTTTTCCAATCACCGACCCACCACACAACAGTAGGAGAAGAAGAAAATCCGACCAGCCTCCATTTCTTCGCGGACCATCGCCACTCCGCTACCAGAACTCGACGGCGATGGTGAGTGGTGACGGCGACAGAGCTCTCCAAATCCCCAGCGATGGCGATGGTGACGGCGACCGAGGAGATCTGATCGCTTGACACGCGATGGGCGACATGCATCGCCTCTCCAAAGTTTGTCTGCTGCCTTTCTCGCTCGATCTCCCCTTCTCGGCTCGCGCGACTCCAACCACTTCTCCAGCTCCAACTCTTCTCGCCTCTCTAACTTCTATCGAGCTCATAGGCAGAGCGAGCCAGAGGATTGCTCGAGGGAGAAGAAGGCAATGGTTGGGTGTATTTGGTTTGATCCAGAAGAGGGAGAAGGAGAAGAAGAATCGCGAAAGTAGATGGAAAGGAAGAATCGCGAGAGGAGCAGCGGCGAAGATTGAGGTTGGGGAATAGATTAGGGATTGAAGTTTGGTAGGATAGGGTGATTTTTTGTCATTCAAACGGCTGTGTTTTGGGGTGGAAGAGGAGATCCGGTTTTTTGGTTTAAACCGGATCAATCCAGTCCGGTCACGGTTGAAACCGGGTAACAATCTAATCCCGTCTTCGGTTGTGGAGTTCTCCAATACGGTAGTAAAAAACCGGGTCAATCTGGTCCGGTTTAAACCGAATCGGACTGTTTCCTAGCCCTAACCCCTAATGAGTGAACCCTAGTCCCTAATTTTCAAATCCTAAATATGAAATCAATTTAATAAAAAATAATAACCTACAGTCTGTATTCGACGAAAAACACATGTTTGTACATATATTAAAAGCATATTCAAATATTTACATTACCAAGGAAGCATAAATAAATCGTTCATAAGGCGATAATAGTCAACAAAAATCAAAATCAAACACACTAGTAGGGAAGAAGAAAAAAATGGTTTTCTTACATGCTAACCACCCTATTGTTTTGCTTACAACGTAATCAGAAATTTTTTGTCAAGAATCACACCCTTATAGCATCATGAACCATTCAACGATTAATCTTATTAATAACGAATTTTCTGTCTCCTTGCTAGACCATATACTCTAGGTCGATCTGTGAGCACATCAGAACGTATCATGAAACGTGATCAACTCCACCGTGAGTGGATCGTGCATAATTGGATAATTAAGACCCTTTTCATTATCATATCCCTACAAGAATTGTTTATGGCCAACCATGCCACCGCATTGAGTGGGAATTTATAGACAACTTCATCAAAGTACCACACAAAATGTGTCATCTACCAAGCCATCCAAGAACAAAAACTGAGATGGTGACATCATAGCTTACCTATTCCTCATAGACTTCCATATGCCTCATGGTTCACCTTACCCTCGTTGACATTGCATTTTGCCCTAGCGAATCCCGAAGAAAATTCCAAAACTATCAAACTTGAGCATACATTTTTTAAAGGGACACAATGTCGTGTAATACCTACACTCAACGACAATATTGACGATGCTATTGCAACATTATAGAATTATTTCTAAACAATATTACGAACTAGCAAATCATATTTTTAACTTATTTTATGGTAGTTTTTGAATAAATTTTTGCTGCAAAGCTTCACAATTTTTCATTTTACTTTTATCACTTTAAATTTTCTTCATAATCCATAAGTTTCGTTAAGCTAAAACTAAAAGTGTACATATATAATTGTCCTTATTAACATTCGAACATACAACCTATTAGGCCCAAATTACAATTTAAGATATGTAGCCAATAGGGTGAATTCTACTTGATGCTACTAAGCACAACAAGATTATTGCTCATGTCTTCTAACATGTTTATGCAACATTTTATTTCAATGTTGTAATATGTTGACTAGTACACTTACATTGTGATTTATAAAAAATAGTATTTTTTGCGTATTTGCTGCATAATCTGCTGCTAATTTTATAAAGTTAAAATGCTGACATACAAAGCAAATGCATATGATCACAATTATACATAGGCGG